GAGTCTGTGTGTGTGTCAGTGAGTGTGTGTGTGACTGCTAGTTAGTGAGTGTGTCTGTGTGTGTCTGTTAGTGAGTGTGTGTTTCTCTGTTAGTGAGTGTGAGTGTGTCTGTTAGTGTGTGTGTTTCTGTTAGCTAGTGTATGCGTATCTGTCAGTGAATGTGTGTGTGTGCATTTAGAAGATGGGGCGGGGGGAAGGGTTGGGTGGGAGTGGCGGGGGGAGGGAGGCGCCTAGGGCAGCACAAAACCAGGATACACCACTGGACCACACACAGGCTTTTATGCAAGTCCCCATGCAAGGGGACATCCCACAGGGAGGGACACAGTATAACCAATCGGTTACAGGAAAACAGTAAAACACACCCAGCACCAACATACAATTCCCTCCCCTAGCCCTGGAGATATTCATGTCTGATAAAGTAATAACTTGATTATCTCCAGGAAGAAAAATCACAATTTTCCACAATATTCAGAACACCCCTTTAGACATGGTGTATCCCCACAAATAATATTTCCCCTGATAGCCCTGATCTGGGTGACCAACATATTCAAATTTCATTCAGATCGGTTCAGGGGTTCTCAAAAAGTGTGAAAGTTCTTTGTGACCGGCTAACCGCGAGGTGGCTGCCCAAAATAGTTCCAAGAGTTTGGGTGGTTTTGCCGGTCTATTCAGTTAAGTGGTAAAAACTGAATAATTTCACGAATGGATTCCCCTGGCTCTTAGCAGCGATTGTTCCCCTCATTCTTTGAAGTTTAACGAGCCAGGGGGTGGTCTCTGTTCGGTAGTTATATCTACCGAATGAATATGGAAGAAATAGTACACATAAAGAGAGATTTCTTCACATTAGGCTGCTGAGCATGTTGTGTTGGATGGTGATGACTAGGTGTAGAGTGATCAGCAGGCTGGTAACCAAGAGAACCATAATTATCAGGAGGACTGGCAGCATAACCATGAGGTGCAGGATGATTGGCAGCTGGAGGTGTAGGATAAGTTGCCTGGGGGTAATCTTGGGCCGCTGCAGGAGGGTGGGAAACCATAGGATAGCCTGCCACGGGAGGAGGTGGTCTTATGGCCTGCCACTGGTGCCTGGGCACCCTGGGATGTGGACAGTCTTCCTTGAAGTGGCCAGGTTGATTAAAATTAAAACAGGTTCTGTTTTGAGGCCTAGGAGCCTGGGACATGGGTTCTCCCTGTGGTGGGTATCCAGCAGGAGCAGGCCTGATTGCAGGATTATGGAAGGAAAATATCAGGGGAGCAGTTTTCCTTGGCTGGGGCAATTGAGAAGACTCCAGGCCTTTAGCAACCAGGAGGAGAGTATCCAAGGGAATAATCCTGTATTCTGGATGGGACAAGACTAGGCCTTTCTTTATGGGTTCTTCTGAGTGTGTGCTTTATTATATGTACTGAAACCCAAATCAGAAAAAGTCTGTGTTAACCTGGAATGATATTTCTCCACTGATTCTGTCTTTTCTTGCACAATAACATTAATACAAGTAGCTTGATCAGCTAATTTATCCTGTGCTCAAGCACGCATCTGTTCACAAAATATTATGCCTGATTGGAAATCTGTGTCTGTGGTGAGGCCAGCATCATCAAAGCACCTTTCCATTATAGGCCAATATGCATTCCCAGCTTTAATTTCACAAAGACTAAACAAATCACGCCATGCAGCAGAATATTTTTTACGTATCTGAGCAATTCTTCGAAAGAAATGAATGACAGAGGAAGGAGGTGGGACGGGGGTGGGAACGGAAGGAATGACAGAGGGAGGAAGTGGGATGGGAGGGAATGGAGGAAATGACGGAGGGAGGAGGTGGGACAGGGGTGGGAATGGAAGGAATGACAGAGGGAGGAGATGGGATGGGGTAGGGAACGGAAGGCATGACAGGGGCAGAGTAATAATAGGATCCGTCTGCTCTAAGGACAGGATCCAGGGGTGTGGGGGCTGGAGGGGCGGGGTCTGTTGGAGCTTGTGGCCGGACAGTGGCAATGGGGGTTGGGTTAGCCTCTTTCTCCTTGTGCCTGATGCTATCATAGGGCGGTGGCTGGAAAACATTTGGGGTAGAATCAACAGTACAAACATTTTCATGGTATACATAAACTTTTTGTCCTTCAATTTCCAATTCTTCCTCTAACCACCCTTCACGTTTAATTCCTTTTGCAACACGATACCAAGCTTCATTATCAAGCAACAATACCTCTTTATCAATCAACAATTTTCTCCAGCTTTCTGGTTGTAACCTGCCGCTGGGAGACATTGTAATACCACAGATCTTAGCGATCTTCCTCACTTTAGTCACAGCTTCCTCTCCTGCCCTCTCTTTTACAATATCACAAGCCAACTGACCTTTAGACAGTCTAGCATGCTCCTGTCCCATTCTCAATACACAAGTCATCACTGGAGAGAAAGATGGAAACAGTAAAGAGTGTCTACAGTGCTCGAGTGCCACGAGATTTTACTCTTCGTGCGTCTTCCCAAAACGTAGACTAGTCACTGGATCCGCCCACCCGAGGTGGTGGTCACGGATTGGAGCGAGGCAAGTGTGTAACTAACACTGCTCTGGATTAAAGGTACAGTAGAGGAAAAAGAAGAGAGAGAAAGTTAAAGTGAGAATGCCAATAAGAAAACACTTGCAAAAATCACAAATAAAAATATGTTCACATAGACATGAATCAAGGATGAACCAAACAACCCACAGATGCAATATATAGATACTATCAAACAAAAAATCTTTACATTCCTTACTGCCTACTGATAGAGAGAGAGAGTGAGAGAACCAAGAGAATGCCGGATAGCAGAGCTATGCAGGGAGGAGGGGAAAGGGAGTGAGCACACAGGGGAGGGGAGAGAGGGAGACAGCAGAAGCTGGAAAAAAAATGATAACCCTATGAGTGCCTAAGCACTGCTCTCGTTAGGATATTAGATAGAAGAGGAGAGTGAAAAGACGTTGACTTATACGTTACACTTAACACGTCCTGTAAACAAAGAAATATATATAGGTGAAGGCACAATATACAGATGTAATTAAATCACAAACTCCTTAAAATAAATGCAAACAAAACACAAACCCCTTAAGATACAAAGATAAACCATGCTACACATGCAGATGCAAACACACCACACACAATACAACCCCAACTAAGCAACCACCATAATACAACAAAGAATAATAATGTATCAAGCATAACAATAATTGAATCAGCAGTCTCTGTTCCTTACCGAACTATATAGCAAATAATATCAACCTATTCCCTCCGAACAATAAAGCAATTAACCTGTTCCCTCCGAACAACACAGTAAACAATTAATCAGTTCCCTCTGAACTACACAGTAAGCAATTAAGAAGTTCCCTCAGAACTACACAGTAAGCAATTAACCAGTTCCCTCCGAACTACACAGTAAACAATTAATCAGTTCCCTCTGAACTACACAGTAAGCAAATAACCAGTTCCCTCTGAACTATAAAGCAAGCAATAATCAATAAGCTAGGTAATTAAGTTAATAAAATATAACAATACATTGCAATAAACTTATCTTAAATCTCCAAGCAAACACTTTCACACCCAGGACTCACACTCAGGAGGCAGATAGACAATCAACAGGTTCTTTTAAAGAGACACCAGGCAAGAATTGTACCTATCTTTGATGCCTTCCTGGGGCCGGAGTGGACATGGAGGCAGGCCAACACAAAAACAGGAAATATAGGCAAATTGCTATTATGCAATCATTACCGTACATATAGGAAGTGATCAATTTCCAGTCCCATCTCTGGGAGTCCGCTCTGGTCCTGGTTCCGGCCGTTTGTTCAGGCAGAGCCGTGGTGTCCCTGTTCGGGCGCCAAATTGTTAAGGATCAAATCAAGTGTTTGATAATTTTGTATATCTCCCCCATTCCAAATTGAATTAGACGCGTGCACTCTCCCAAAAGTAATTCACACCAGACACAAGTTTCAGGTTAATGAAAAACTTGAGGAATGTTTAATCCAGGGGGCCGGTATGCCCCTTATTAAGCAGAAATACATCATATGCATAATTATAGATAACAGAGAAAATACATCAACAATTGGTTAGGTGTTAAGTGGTTCATCTAATGCACAGCCAACAGGGTGTGATGTCACTGTCATCATGGAGTTCTCCTCCACATTCCAGCGCCATCTTGCTACACGCGGTAGTTACTCGATGGGAGGGAGGTTAGAGGGGGAGCAGTTACTGAACACAGGAGGGGAGGGGTTGGAGGGGAAGCAGTTACTTTAGCAGCCTGGTTAACACAGTGAATAATGAGCACAGATGCACAGAGTAAATAGGCATTTTACTAAAGTTAATATTCTGTCCACAACACTACCCAATCACAGTCCCCCTACACACCTTACAACCCCCCTACCCACTCACAGACCCACTATCCACCATACAGACCCCTACCCACTTACAGAACCCCCTACCCACCTCACAGTCACCCTTACCCACCTCACAGTCCCCCTACCCTCTCACAGCCCCTACCTTCTCACAACCCCCCTACCCTCTCACAGCCTTCCTACCCAAACCTTGTCACAGCCATCCCCACTCTGTCTCCCCACACACCATCACAGCCCCCCACAAACCCTGTCACTCCCCCCATATACGCATCCACACTGTCACCCACACACACACTCTATCCCCATACACACACTGACACCCCCTCCATACAATATCACCATCCCCAATTACTTTAAGCCTCCACACATAGTCACCGCTTCACCCAGCTATATATATGCATCGAGCGTATAATTTTTTTAGGGGGGGGAGGTGGATCTTGGGTGTGTGTTTCCACACTTTTTTCCCCAGGACTTGGCCCCTGCGCATTACCAATTCTGTGTTTGAAGCATCCAAATTGTCAGGGACATATTAAGAGCCCATTGGGCTTGGTGCTGACAATTATGATGAATCTAATTACAGAATCTTATCGACAGAAAACACTAGAGCAGTTATACCTCCGAAGCGTCATGTATCTCGTGTTAGTGGTGCTGGAGGATAACTTACAAGATACAGCTATCAGAAAACATATACCCTATGCTAATCTCTTGCTTTCATCTTTCAAGTAAATCCATGTCTCTTAACAGCAGTGTCTAGTGAAGCAGGATTTCAGTGGGAGGGGTAAAAGGGTGGGTCACTGATGTGTATCACGTTAACCAGAACCACCCAAAAGGACAAACACGCCCAAAAAGAAGGCGTGTCTGCATGAAGAATTAGATGGTCAGCCTAGTTTAAAGCCAGTCATGCAGGATTTTACCGGGATCGTCTGGGTTTTCACCCATTTGTCCCGGCATCTCGAGAAACTTTCTCGGGACACATGAATGTCCCGGTTTATGCAGAGCCGCCTCCTTTCCCCATATGTCACGGCCTACAGTTGAGATCCTTTAATATCTACTGCAGGCCTTATGTAGAGCAGGCCTTGTTATCTGCCTTCCTGGGCCAGTGGCGAGATCAAAGCTACAGAGGGAGATATGGAGCAAGGCCTTGGAGGCAACCCACTTCTCTTACGAGCAGGCTGGTTGGAGCGTTGCTGCGCAAATATAATGGGAACGTTCCGACATAACTCTGTAGTCGCAGAAGTAAAGGGTAGCCATCCTGCAGACAGAAGAGCTGTCACTGGACCACCTGGGATTGAAAAGTTGTCCCCTCCTCCTTGGCCAAAGGTAAGAAGAAGGGGGAGGAGGAATTATAAAGTTTTAGTTTTTTTTAAATATATACATTTGCACCATTATCTCCCCACACACACACACAACCCCTACTCACTACACCCCCTCACACACACAGCATCCCCCATACACACACTGCACCCCTACACACACTACACCTTCCCACACAGAATTCTCTCCACACACTACACTCCCCACACACTGCACCTCCTCTAAGCACACACTGCACCCTCTCCAGACACACTCAGCATCCTCCTCCACACACGCTGTACCCTCTCCACACACACACACATCATCCCCCTCCACACACAGCAGCACCCACACTGTCCCCTCTCCACACACACATTGCACCCCCTCCATACACACACACACACACACACACACACAGACAACACCCTTCCAAATAACCTCCACACACTGCACCCCCCACACACTGAACCCCAACACATACTGCACCCCCACACACACTGCACACCACACACACTGCATCCCTCAGTGCAGTTTGTCTGTGTGTGTGTGTGTGTGTGTGTGTGTGTGTGTATTCAGCAGTCTGTGTGTGTATTCAGCAGTCTCTTTGTGTGTATTCAGCAGCCTGTTTTTGTATTCAGCAGCCTGTGTGTGTATTCAGCAGTCTGGGTGTGTATATTCAGCAGCCTGTGTGTGTGTTTATTCAGCAGTCTGTGTATGTATTGTGCAGTCTCTGTGTGTGTGTATTCAGCAGTCTCTGTATGTGTCTATTCAGCAGTCTGTGTGTATGTTTTTAGCAGTATGTGTGTAGCTGTCTGTGTGTATTCATCAGTCTGTGTATTCATAAGTCTGTGTGTGCATATATTCATCAGTGTGTATGTGTGTGTGTGTGTGTGTGTAATTTAGCAGTATGACTGTGTGTGTACTCAGCAGTCTCTCTGTGTGTGTATTTTGCAGTCAGTGTGTATGTATCATATTTGTTGGAGGTAACAATAAAAATAAGCTTAATTTATTGATCATTTATATTTTTTTTACTGTAAGTGGTTTTGTGGGCATGGTCCCAGTGCATTGCTTTGCCCGGGGGCTATTATGCTGTTAAAATGGCCCTAGTCTAGGGTATGTGTGTGCTCTGATCATGTTCCTATAAAATGTAAATTTAAAAAAAAAATCATTTGAGTACCAGGAAGGGGTTGAGCTGTAACAGCCACTTCTGGACAGGAATAGGTTAAAGACTTCTAGTAGGTATGTATTTCTCTGTTGTTGATTTTTTGCGATTTTTGTATCGTTAATGGGTGTCCCGTTTTTCCCCCAAAATCTGGTCACCCTGACCAAGGACATACTGGGCAGACAGCACCCTGAGCTTCGCATAAATGCGTCCAATGATGTGCTAGCTTGATGCTTTCTAAGGACTGTCCGCTAGCACTCGCTAGTCCACTCCTCTCCTAACCTTCTTTTTTGCAGGCAGAAGCTCTTGTTATACAGTCTGGGACAGAGAAAAAGTGTATATAATGAGTGTAGAAGAAAGAGAACCTACCACAGTGTTAGAGAGACTGAAGCAGAAAGAGCATTTGCATAGTGCAGAAAGTCAGCTTTACCTTAACTAGTTTAATTGTCAGCTAGTCCACACCAGTTTTGTCCCCCTACATTAATCTTAAGTTTCCATACTTATGCAAGAGCATGTGAAGAGTAGAAAATAAATAAATAAATATATATATATATATATATATTAAATTATTTATTTTAAATCAATTGGCCTATTCCTGAGGCTGCAGCTCCATCAGCCCTTATGTTAATCCGGCCCTGCATATTGTTGGAATTTAACCACCTAAGCTGCAATACTTGGAGCAAAGTATGCTGCTCACAAAAATGGTGAAAACAAAATATATCTAACAATACTTTATTATCTCTTTTCAGTTACCTTTTTTAAAATCTATTTTAGATTATCTGCATAACATTGCATGTCCAAAGTGAAGTCATTTATTACTGAGCTAGTCGGATAGCCCTTTTGTTCTCTTTAAGGTTTACACTGGATTTCTATTAACTTGGAACACAGGAAAATTTACTTTGGCTCAACTTAAATTCTGTGTTTTTGTGTTAAAATAGGTTTATGTGTGTTTGTATGTGGCAAGAATTGTGTATGTAGAAAGGGGGCCCAGAAAGTTTAATTCTTAATGATTTCATATGGCAGTCCTATTGACATGCTAATATTTATTATAGTACCTCATTGACCCAACTGATTTCATTGTGTATTGTTTATTATTTGACTGACCCTTTTACCAAGCCATGTTTTAATTTGCCTCTTTTAGAATGTGTTAAATGTGCTTTAATTTATCTGCTGTGATTTTGCCACTGAATAGTTTCTACAATACAATTAGTTGTAAATGCCCTCTTATTCAACTGAAATTAGCCCTTTTAAAACCTGTCATCCCCTCCGCCCCTCACAAAAATAGAATCTACATGAAATGGTCATAAATTCACTGATATTGGAAATTTTAAGCCCATCTAAAATTGTTTTTCTATGAGTTGATCTAACACTATACCATATCATAGTCACTACTTCACAAGAGCCCCCTATCTTGAATATTTGAAAAAAGCTCAATATGATTAGCTATTACAAGACCCAGACAAGCATCTATTATAGTTAGTGCTCCTATTAGTTGAGACATGAAAGTGTTATTTAACAGGTTAAAAAAACTGTTTCTCTTAACTTTACTATTAGTTCCTCTGACCCAGTCAATGTTTGGATAATTAAAATTTCCAGTGATTGAACCATTGCCAAGATGTGCAGTCTTTTTAATTTGACCTATGACATTTGACAATGACATACTACCAATGTTTTTTTGCAATGTTTTAACTATAATTGTGTGTAGATGCATCCTCCGACTTTCTCCAAAAGTAAATTTGTTCCTTAAAATCAAGGTAGTAAACCAATATTTCCATTGAAGTCCGCACACATTAGAAGCTCCAAAATAATGCCACAGGTAAGTATTGAAAAGGGAGCAATTTATTAAAAAATAGATAGAGGAAAGAAATATAACAAAAATGTCAGCAACTAGTAGCCCACCTAATAAGATGTTACCTCCAATATTTGCACCAAAAGCCAGTGTGCAACTCAAGTGCACATTCTAATAGGTGGAGATGAAACACCCAGCATCCAAAAGGAAGTGGAGCAGGGAAAAACAAAAGGAAGCTAGAGATAGCAAAATCTACTCGGGTGGTGTGGGGGGGGCTTGAGGAAAGACACACTGGAGAGGGTCCTAGCAAACCTTCAAGGTGGTCCTGGACATGTTTTGTGCCCTTCTTGGCACTTTTCTCAGTTATTCCTTAAAATTAAACTGTCCATTATTTTTAATTGGCCTACAAGTGTTTGCTGAATGACAAACCTGATATAAATTTCAGCTCTGTAAAACTTGCAATAGACCACATAATGGCCAAGACTGCTTATTAAATTCCAAGTTTATTTTGATCATTTATTAACATTTTGTACACGTGTGATATATGTACTTTTTTATTCTATTATTTTACAGGTTTGACCAGTGTGTCAGCAAAACAAGCAGCAATTATTTTGCCTTGGTGTTTTTGTGAAATGTCACTATAGTATCAATTGTTAGATATCATTTACTACTAGCACATATTGTCACTTGAGAATTAACCTAATAATACTCACCTGTGCAACAATAATTCAATACGTGACTTAAAACTATAATTCTATACTTCACTTAAAAATGAAACTCAATGTTTACGTGATGTTGACATTATTTTGTAGTGTGGATTGTGATTTTAGATGAACATATATTTAACTAAAAGTGAAGGATACTAAAAGTAAAAACTAATGTCATTTAAAGATATTTATAAAAACAAAAAATCAACTAAATAATAACAAAATCTGATTAAATTCAAGGCAAGAATTACACCAGGATAATAAAATGTTAAAGGTCAAGCGCCAGCAGTGGGAAGAGTACCAGTAAACAGAACCCTACAATGTTCATGTTTATTAATGAATATTTCTATATTTTTGTTGCTATTTGCACCAAATAACTCTGTGGCATTTTTTTATTTCCTTTATTAACATGTAATACAGTATTGTAAACTGTTATTGTGATCAGACATTCCCTTTGATATATTAGGCATTTCTTAAATTGTATCAAACACCATTTTATTTTTACATTAGATTTACGGATATTGCTTATCAGAGCGCAATTTTATTATTGCTAAGTTGTCAACTACCCTCTATTTCTAGAATCAATATACTTTGTTACAATAGTGCCAGGAACAAAGAGCTTTACAATGTAACTTGTATTCTTTTACAGGTCAACAACATCACATTTTGTACAAATACGGGACTGATTTGTTTTGGTGTCTTAAACATTGATGTAAGAAATTTAGAAATCTTTGATTTTAAATTAAGTTATAAAGCAAATCATGTTTGTGGAAGAAGACCCATCACCCTGTAAAGTGAAAATATGTCACTTGGATAGAATAAGATCAAAATAATATCATGCATGACATCAAGCAGAAAATAATTTAAATACATTTTTCAATCATCAGCAACTCTATATCCCCATAATAAGCCCAATAATTAACTAAGATACCACACATCATTCGAAATTGGTTTTAGTAATATTGTTGAAACACTATCATCTTGAGTGTTTTCAATGAAAGTCAGCTAAACTATAAAAATGAATGATGATCGTCTTATTAATGAAAGTATTAGTTTAATAAATTAATGATTAAACTGGTGTAATGTGGAAAAATATGGTTCGGTCAAATCATTTTGATGGAAAAAATATATATATTTTGTTCAGGCAGTACAATAGATGTTCAGGTGGTGCTTCAACTCAACAATATAATCCATGGGAGTCATTTGGACAAACCAAAAGAGCATGAAAAAGAACAATCATTGTACTGCAAAATATATACATAATGTAAATATTATGTGTATATTTTGCTACACTAATACATTCATTCTCCTGCCATTTGGTTGACAGATCATTGGTCACTACTTACTTGATCTGTCTATGGAATCAACATTTAGTGGCTGTTCCCTATACATCATCTTCTTTTCTCTTTCAAAACATGTTGTTTTTGTTGCCACAAATGGCACTCTAACTCTCATTGCACAAGTTGTTTTTTGTTCGGTTATATGCCCATATGGTGCTTCGGAGTTACAGATTGGCCTAAACTGAAATGGTAGGCAAATTGACCAAAAACAAATCCACAAATCTATTAACTATATTGATTAACATTTTCATTGAACTATGTGGTGGAACTCCTAGAGACATAATGGTTGTTATTGTGACTGGACCCTGGTGTTCAGCCTGTCAAGGGAGATGCAGGTTAGGCGTGGAGCAAAACCTTGCAAAACCGTGGCAAACTTTGCAAAAACTCTGTATTTTGCTCAATGAAAGAGTCAAAGTAATGCTGCTGGGTTACTCAGAGAGATTGCACGAGCACTGGAAAGAATATTTATGTGACCACACACTTCTCCAACTGGACCACCAGGGCACTAATACTATACTCAACACTTATATATCACACTCAGGCAATCACCATAATCATTCTCAGTCACCACATACATTCTTCTCAGCTGTATTGCTTAGGGGATGCAATGAGGGAGGCACTTATTTTATTTTTGCACCAGGGCCCAGTGGTTACTACTTGTGACAATTACCAAAAGAATAGTAAACAAAATCTTCAGGGAACAGTTTACATGCAATGTAGCACTGTTCCTGGCATATTTTCAAGTATTGTACTGGAGGATTGTAGGAAGGCAGATGCCATTCCTATATTTAAATAGGGTTCAAAATCCATGCCTGAAAATTATAGACCTGTGAGCTTAACTTCTGTGACTGGGCACCTTTTCTTTCCATGACAAGCCAGCCCCTATATGGGGCAAGAAAAACTACTATCTTTCCTTTTACTCCCTATGCTTACACTCTTTATCATCATGCACCCATAAGCCACCTGATAGACTTCTTGTAACTACCACATTCATACTCACGTAATAGTAGATACCACCTCTCGTACGCGCATGAGATATACCTAACCCGCAGGGCAGCTTCACATATGAGCTGGCATACTGCTATGCCATACGAGACAGAAGGAACAAATGCTCACGAGAGGAAGGTGGTGGATGGCGAACCCATGCTGGGGTGTAAAAAGACACCACACCACCGAAGAGCATTGTCCAGGTACATTTATACATGATGGGGATATAGTGGTACTGAGAATGTGCATCTAACACGTACAATGTAATCAAGCACGGCTCCAAAGAATGTTATTTTGTATTTAAAAAAGTTTCAAATTGGATCTGTATCATGTACCTACCGATGTCTTTCACTAAGGCCTGCGAGTCTAATTTTCCTTTATCCTCTTCTAAATAAAAACAAAAAGATTTCCAAAAAAACCCCAAAACCTTCTGTGACTGGGAAAATATTTGAAGGGCTATTAAGGGATAATATTCAGGAAATCATTGGGAAGAACTTTGTTATTAGCAATAATCAACATGGTTTTATGAAACATAGGTCATTTACAACTAACATAATTGCATTCTACAAAGAAGTAAGTAGAAGTATAGACCAGGGTGTTGCAGTGGATGTGATCTACTTGGATTTTGCCAAGGCATTTGATACAGTTCCTCACAATAGGTTAGTCTTCAAAGTGAAAGAAATTGGTCTAGATGAACATACTTGTTATTGGGTAGAACATTTGCTTAAGGAGAGAGTACAATGAGTTGTCATAAATGGTACATTTTCAGGCTGGACAAAAGTGGTAAGTGGTGTCCCTCTGGGTTCTGTTTTGGGACTGCTTCTATTTAACATATTTATGAATGATCTTGAAAGAGGCATTGAAAGCCATGTTTCAGTGTTTGCAAATGTCCCAGAACTTTGTAAAGTAATAAAATGTGAGCAGGATACTGCTTTGCTGCAGAGGGATTTGGTTAGATTGGGGGACTGGGCACTAAAATGGCAGATGAAATTGAATGTAGAGAAATGCAAAGTTATGCACTTCGGGGTCAAGAATGCACAAGAAACTTACACCCTAAATGGTAGTGAATTAGGAATAATCAAACACGAGAACGATTTGGGAATTGTTATAGACAACAAATTAGGCAGCAATATGCAATGTCAATCTGCAGTTGCTATGGCCAGTAAGGATTTGCCATGTATAAATAGGGGTATAAATTCTCGGGATGAAAATATAATTTTGCCTCTTTAGAAATCGCTGGTAAAATCACACCTTGAATATGCTCTGCAATTTTGGGCACCTGTTCTAAAGAAGGATATCATGGCACTAGAACAAGTGCAGAAACGTGCTAGAAAATTGATAAAAGGAATGGAACATTTTAATTATGAAGAAAAGTAAAAAAAAAAATGTAAATCTCTTTAGTTTAGAAAAACAGCACCTCAGAGGGGATATGATAACATTATGCAAATATATTAGGGGCCAGTACAAACCATTATCTGGAAATCTATTCATAAACAGGGCTATACATACGACACAAGGTCGCACATTTTAACTGCAAGAAAGGAGATTTCATCTAATGCAAAGAAAAGGGTTTTTTTTACAGTAAGAGCAATAAGGATATGGAATTCTTTGCCTGAAGAGGTGGTTTTATCAGAGTCCATACAGATATTTAAACTACAATTGGATAAATACTTGCAAAAACATAACATACAGGGATATAATTTCTAATTAGTGGGGTAATAGCTACTTGATCCAAGGAGACACCTGACTGCTATTTTGAGGTCAAGAAGGAATTTTTTTTCCTAGTTTGTTCAGACTAGGTTTTTTCCTTCTTTTGGATCAAAAGCAAAAACATATGTGAGGAAGGCTGAACTTGATGGACGCAAGTATTTTTCCAGCTATGTAACTATGTAAAAAATATTTACAGCCATGTTGATATTTAATAGAAGACCACTATGTGCTCATGTGTCAGGCCTATTAATCATGTAGAGGGAAGTTGTTTAATGACTCAACCTTTAAATGAATGTGATCCATGTTTGTGTGGTATTTCATTGTATCTTCACCTGTATAATGCTTTGGGTGGGGCTCTCTGCAGTCAGTTTATGGTAATCCACTTGCATTTGCTGTTTTGTGTCTTGCCCAACAACGTATACTGTTCCTAGAGTGCATGTCACTGTGGTTGTACATCCCATATAATTGCCTGTTCTTGTCCATGACTCACAAATATAGTCTTTGTCACTTTCTAATATAGGCCATGACTGCATGAATTTCACACTCCCATACATGATCATTTACTATAAGTACTTTAATTTCTTACATCCATTTAAGCATTTTCTTGGCATGATCAGTTGGCCATTTGAATCTACACATTCTGCAGGATCTAGTGTCCTGTCTTGTCTTGTTGACAATGTCTGAGAACAAATTAACATTAAGAATATGGCATATTTACATAACTACCACCATAATGCTGCCATAATTTTACAGTTTTTCAAAGGTATGTGTATTCATATACCAAATACCAATTGTTTTAAAATGATTACTTATATTGTATGGAATGTGTAATTTTGAAAAGTTTTTTTTTTTCTTAGTGACTTGTAATATTCTAATAAAAACCAAACAAACATGATTTATCATTCTAATTTTGTTTGTTGAAAAATCACTTTATAGTTTTTGAAGATCTGTATAAATCTAGTAGATAATACGTCTAAAATGAAGATTAGGTGAAAAAAACAGAAGGTGCAGAAATAGTAAATCTGAGATAGTATTGGTTTTAAGCCTTTAAGTACAAAAATATAAAAAAGTATAATTTTAAAATATTCTTTATCATAGAAATAAGTAAAAAAAATTCTAAATCTGCACATGCTGATGTAAATGTAAAGCAAACATCTTGTCTGATACACTTTTACCTCTATTTCAACCTTCAAACAGGTTTCACTTATCTCCTCTTACGATAAATACTTTAAAATGTTTATAAGGCATGTAAAATGAAGTAAAACATTACAAACCAAACTTTATACTCATTGCTATTATGAAAATCTCTTACATTTGACTGTAATCATTGTATTGAAGATGACAAAATATCTGTTAACTCTCACTTTGTAGTTATTTAGCTTTTTTCTTCTAGAGGTAATTAAATCGAATTATAGGGATCAAATCCATCAAACTGTGTACAACGTTTCGCATAATCTTCTTAACTTAAAGAGTTCAAGTTTTAAGAATATTGGCTATGGGTGATTTAGGCTAATGTGTGTGCTCGGGAGATTTAAACAAAAGTGATGATTACAGCAGTGTTTCCAAACATTAAGTCAATGGGGAAAATAGCAATGTATCAGCACAAATGGAATTATGAAACTTTTAAATTCTTCCATAATTATTTAATCTCCCGTCTTAAAAAGATTTCCCTGAACCCTTTATTGGTACAAACCCTGAAGACTGGAGAAACTCAAAATGTTGTACAGTGTACTTTGGGCGTTCATGTATTGCTTTATTTCAAACACAACTCACTTAAACAGGCACAATATTGATGCAAGGAGAAAATGTTAACTGTTTAATACTTAAAACATACATAACATATAAACCTATAATTGCTCTTTCCCTTTATAGTGATTTATGAAAAATAAGTCAGGTTTTTGGGGGTCTTTTACAAATATCACAGACAAATTTTCTATTGATAAAAATAAGGACAATAGCATTTTCTATATCACCAACAATATATCCTAACTTTATTAAAAGAATGATCAGTAGTAAAGCAGAAATTGTCCCTTGATTTAAGGTGGCATTTTGAGTTACCTGGCCTTTCAAAACTCCACTCTTCAATTGCAACTGAAATAACATGAAAATAATAATTCACAACATACTCAACATAGTGAGTCAGATGTCGCAAACCACCCAAGAACCTCCATAATGTCTAATGTTAGAATAAACTCATCATAATTTTACAGAGCAATGTACTTTTTCATGTACTTTTACCATACATTAACTAACCCTAGAGCTGGTATCTTGAACGCATTAACATTAAGAGTCTTATAGGAGTTATAGATACATAGGTAGCATTATAGCAGTGAGACATTTGACTCAGTTCAGTGGTATACATTTAGAACCTATATTGTGAATCAATATGTTGGGTGAGAAAAATAGTATATTTTAAAGTGGCATGTCACTTAGATCCACATTTTCCTTCTTGAGTAATCACTATATAACAAGTGGACTTTTATTACACATTTGTATATTACACATATACTTTTAAATATTCACTACATAAACCTATATCTTTCCTTTGGGTCTGCAGTTTGATATTTTGTCAATATAGGAATTGAAAACATTAATAGGAAATGTTGGCTTGCATTTTTTGCATTGCATTGATTTTGAAATAAAATGACTAATTTGCGTAATTTACAGTCTTAACATTCTAGTACATGTACCACAGTCAGTTTATAATAATTTCAATTGCACATAATACTATATAGGTTGAACTTGATGGAATTTGGTCTTTTTTTCAACCTAGATTACTCTGCAAACTCCTAATATGAACATACTGTACAAACATATCAGATGATAGTTTGGACAATGGTATAATTTAAGAAAATTCTTACAGTTACGTATACCCTACAGCATAACTTCCAAAAATGTACACAATATCATGGACATAAAACAGAAACCCTAAAAGGGAATTCGTATTTGAAATCAGGCATTTCTAGTTTTTTAGTAATTATTTAATCTCAAAAGGGAAGGTATCATTGACATATATTGCTAATGCCTTAAGTATCTAAACTTATTTACAGGTGAAACAAAGAAGGGTGAATTACCACTTCAGACATTAACAATGTTTATTCAGAAATCCAGAAATTGTAGAAAATTTTAGAAAAGTGCAAATTTTAGATTATAATATCTAGATAACTGGAATCTAGTTATCTTGATAACGAGAACACAATGAATATTTTTGCAGCTTGACTAGTAGGCCCTAAAATTTGCAGTTTCTATGTCCATTCTCCACAATTGTCACTTTAGCGAAAGTGCTTAAGTCCAATTCAACACTAGGTTTCCTTTCAACCTGGACTATGCTAAAACCAGTGTAAACAACTTAGATGCAGTAAGTTTAATATCTGAATTCACCATTGTTTTGACTTAACTAAATATACTTTTGGAAAACCCACACCTTCAGGACAAATAGTGACTTTTCCGATGGTGCTACACGTAGATGAACTGAACTATGAGAGTTGTACCTGTTTTCACATCACCTTAGGCACCTAACGTTTTACCTGCAACATGCTGTTTTATATGCAGAAAGTTAAAGGTTCATGAAAACATAATCATTAACATAATCAAAAGTAATCATGAATTGAGAGTTACCAATCAATATAATGGGATGCATAAAGACATTTAACTAAAATAAAAGTGTGCTGAGATGTGTGTTCATTATGTGATGTCAGTGCCAAAAGAAATTAAAAAATGTAGAGCTGCCAACTAGATAATCATGATTAATGAAATGATTTGATATATTTAGAAATTCACGTATCATTAGTACATATTTAAAATCCTTCTATTTGCAATAATTACATATAATCAGTCATTTCATCAGTTCAAAAGATTCTTCACACACAACAACAAACATGTAAACCTGAATCAGAATATAAATGAATAATAATTAATTCGAGTGAATTGAATATATGTGTATTTTGATCACAAGTTCAATGTTATTATGCCCATAAATTTAATTTTGCTTTTATATAATCACTTCATACGGGTTATAGGCAGACAAGTACTTTTCATAAATGTTTTCTAATTTATTTTCATTTTAGAATGAACAAAATTAGAGACAATCTTACTACATTGACCAAGTGAATGTTATATTTCATTACGACTCAGTCTCAAGTCTAACAATTACCACTTGTAAGCAATGTCAAAACAATTCCAGGTTTATACATAAACCTCTCCAAAATACCTCAGTCAAGATAGCAACTGATTTTTATTACACACTTACATGTTCATTCACTAAGCAGAGAATTGAGACAAATTGAAAACTGAATGACTCAAGGTCAAAATAGGTGGTTTAGAAAAAAATCTCCAGTTTGTCTATTTGGCAAACTTAGTTATCTTGACTTAAATTTAGCATCCTTTATGACAAGTCACTGTTTGGTGAATCTCTTTAGAATGTATTTAGTTTTAATAAACATTTTTTTTTCAGAACCATTAAACTACCATAATAATTATGGGCTTCTGTGCACACATCAACATGTGAAAGGTATGAAAACCCAAACCGTGTTCATAGTATGAGAAATTTCAGTTATGTTCTCAGAAACACATTATTAGACTGTTAAACCTAATGAAAAAAAAAAAAAGAAAAACAACATAGTTAAAATACTACATTTTCATATGTATAATTGAACATCCACGGTTTTGATTTTTGAGAAAGCTTTCCCCTAAACTCACAATACTTTTTTTTTCTATATACACAGAATATGGATCTATATTTAATAAAACATTTGAATATTTTTTTTTATAAACATGAAAAATTACAAGTTTTAACCTGCTAAAACTAAACACACTGCATATTTATATATGACAAAGATGTGAGTATAGCATTTTCTGTACAGAATCTAATAATATTCTTAATTTCTTCTTTGCTTTTTTTCATAGAACATTATTGACTTGCGCCATAAAATGTTTGCTCTCCAAAATGATGATGTTGACCTGTGAATTAAAATCAAACACAGAAGATATGACCTGTTTTGGTGCAGTAAAGCGTTTCAGCAGGGAGACTATATATATATATTTGAAATAGTGTAAGTGAACTTGTAGAACTCAGTGAGTGACATTATTACTTTGGCAAATTAATTTTAGTAAACTGAAGTAGAAGATGAGTGTTTGGCATACTTACAGCTCTAAGGCACATGGCAGTGGACTACAAGCAAGAGTACAGAAATAAATGCTCAAGAACTGAAGGCCTTGCTTTGAGCCATCATAACGATTTAAATTATGTACTGTACTTAGCAAGTTGACATATCATTTCTTTAGAACACTTAGTATGTCAGAACTTCAAAGCCTAAAGCTTTTGTTGCAAATCCTGTTTAAAAGTATATGGCATCGCTAAGATTTGCAAATAAACATATCATTCACAGTACAGGGAACAAAATGTTTGTACACACACACACAAAATGGTTTTTTTACATACATGGAAACATTCACACACAATCACAATGAATATTTTATGTTTGTTTTTTTTTTGTTTTTTTTTAAATAGACATGTTTAGCAAATATGGATGACAGATCAATTGTAATTTATTTTCTGTTAACACTGTATCATCATAAAGAAAACTGGTAAAAATGAAAAAATCTATTTCAAGTATCTACATGTAAAATTTTAGGCAGTGAAAAAGCACTTTGTTGACAAGAGGTGTGGAATGATGTATGTTAATTGTCAGAAACTGCTGAATGCTTTGTTTAGTTGCCACAAACAAATTCACATATCAGAACGAACAATACTGCTAAATATTATTTAGTCATTACTTTCATTTTGTTATTGTGGTTTTCCTTGTCAAAACTTACTTGGGTGGGGGAGAACAAAATAGATTGAAATTC